CCACGTTTGAGTCAATGATTGTAAACAACGTATTGAGGGTAATGGAATTGATTTCTTCAATTCTCTATAGTTTCGCGGACTTAAAAAATATAAACATAATGCGAATTTTTTAAATTCAGGATTGTACCTTCTACCACGACTACGTTTTACTTGCGCATCAATTTGTGCCGACAACAATCTCGCAAATCTTACAGGTAATAACTTACTTCCTAATGTACGCAGAGTCTCAAACTGATCCGCATCCTCCGCATTTGCTGCTTTTTTGTTGGAGTTAGGCACTTTACCTTTTCGTAACCGTCTAATCGTTTCTCGCAGACTTTTAACTTGCGCTTTCAACTTCTTATTCTTCAATCTCAGTTTCGTCTTTTGAGGAGAATTGTCGGAAGACATATTTGCTTGCTGGGTCTTCGTACATGTGCCAGATGTGCTCCTGCGCACACAAAATATTTACATTTCTTACAGATTGCAAAAACAGATGATAAATTAATACAGTAAAGCCCGTATCAGACTACGGATTGGGATTGAGATTGGATTGAAATTTTATCAGAGCAAAGTTTACTAAACTTGAGATCAGTTTTCTCTGTTCTGATTGATTAAATTTCAATCCAATCTCAATCCCAATCCGTAGTCTGATACGGGCTAAAGAGATATATAGATTGAAGTAAAATAAATAAAACTTACGGTCCAGCAATTTCAGCATCATTATTCATTACACGTTCAGGTTCAGGTAATTGCAAGTTACTGCAAAAGGTATAATTAAAAGAATGTTATTTTTATTACAATATTCAAATATTTTCCAAACATTGAAAAAAATTATTATATATATTGTTTTTGGTAAGTGTTTATGAAAATAATTACTGGTCTTTTATTATTACCTGTTATTTTCTTCTCTGCTTGTTGATGGAGTTGCAATCTGTACATCCAGATCCATCTCAAACGTTCCAACGTTGAAACATGTATTGCTACAAAAAAATCGAGTTAAATGAGCTATTACAATTTTGGTTTTAATATTTGTATATAAAATGTGTGGTAATTGTGACAATTCTTAAACATGAAATTATATTTCACGTCGGACAAAATCACTTGTAAAAATAACTTCAAATAATTAATCGAATATTTGAAGATAGAAATGATACGTAAAATCGATATTATTCAATGTTATTAGAAGAGCAACGCGCGTAATCCACATTCCATATATCCAAACCGATCGATTTTAGTTTCCAAACTCAACACGTGCATATTTCGTACATCATATAAGAAAACTTTTCTAAGGAAAAAAGGCTATTGTCCTAGGTCCTTCTCTCCGTCCACCATAAAAAGAATTTATAGTGGAGGGGACAAGAAGCCACAAAAGCCCGCTAGGATTCTGTAAAATTTCAGTCTGCTTCAGTCTGCTGGTAGCAACCAAATGCAGAAGTTGTGTATACTGGTGACGATCACGTGTTCGTTTAAGCCAAGCGTTTCGTTTCGAGAGCGTTCGCGATGATCTGCAAAATGAATGAATTGTGGCGATGCTTCCGACGAACGTTTCGTGTGGATTACGGGACAATAATTTCGATGCCGGAACAGACATGTAGACCATTTTATACACATCATTAAAATAATTGAAAAAATATAAAAAAATTCATACATCTTCTTTGAAGTTAACTATGTTAAAAAATATTATAAATTCAAAAATAGAAAAAAGAGTTGTAGATATTTCTTATATTTTTTGATATTTTAAATTCTTCATCGATTTGAGTATTTCTGCATTTGATTGCTACCAGCAGACTGAAGCAGACTGAAATTTTACAGGATCCTTGCGAACCCTTGTAGCCTCTTATCCCCTTCACTATAAATTCTTTTTATGATGGATGGAGGGAATTAAGGACCTAGGACAAGAGCCTTTTTTTCCTATATATATATATTTTTTTTTATTTGACGCACCTTGTTGTTTCTTCTTGTACAGTGTCCATTGACATGTGTTGTTCAATGTTCAAAGCCTCATCGTTGTCCATTATTGTGCTTCTGGAAAAAAGTTGATTTGAGTTATGTGTTAATTTAAATATAATTTTTCTAATATTTTTATGATAAATGCAAAAATAGCTTACACATTATTGTTTTCATTTTCCATTGATACTATTACATCCGTTGATACTGTAGAAGCTGTAGTACTGCTGTAAAATAATATATTTTTAATTATTTTATATTACTATCAAAAATATTTTGAAGTATTACAAAACTATAGATTTTCCAAATAAAGAGTAATTAAAACTAATATAAATAAAAACTTACTTATTATTAGTGAACTCTAAACATCTTGTTGGTACAGCATCTGGATGAAGGCGAGCTCGACTTTTGACCATTTTATATTTATCTTCCTCAAAATGTACATGGCACAATCGACAATTGCGGTGAGCATACTCGGGGCCTTTCGGTATTAAATCTGATCTTCTGCATGCTTGAACCCATGCCAACCACCTGTATATGTCAGAATAATTAATTAAATTACGCAAATAATGAAATAATAATGTAAACAATTATTAAAATAGTATTTGTACCTATCATGTTCTTTTGGAAAAAGGAAGAAGTGTCGTTTTTCCACATTTATGGTGCTCATACATCCTGTCACTGCACACCAATGACTTTCTTTTTTAAAGTTTTTAATGGTTTTTTCCATTTTCTAATTCCTTCTCGTAGCAAAAAATCTGAAACAAAGCTAAGATCAAAGTGCTCTCAAAGAAAAGAAAACCTGTATAAAATTTATACAGGTTAACTTTCCTTCCTATGCTTCCAATACACAAATTACTTCACAATCACTTCACAATCACACACTTTACAATCACACACTTCACACAATTTTTTTTCCGACTTTTATCAAGTCAATCTATAGCTGTCTATAGCACTTTAACGCCTTAGCATTTAAATGCGCCTCTAAATCCGTTAGAAAAGGAAAGAGAGTAAGAAGAAAAGAGACAGAGGTAGTGCTTTATTTCGCGCATGCGCAATCCGTTTTGGCCAACACGAAATCAGAGGAGTTGCGCTACTGTATATACTGTGGTTTCGCTATGGAGCCACTATTGGTTTAGTTCCGCAGGTGGATTTTCGTTTTCCGACATTTACGGTGATTGCGCTTTACATAATTTGCTTAATCGACTTACATTACGGTCGCTAGTCGCATGTTGCTGGTGGGTGCTCGTGCCGCCTTATCTGTCGGTGAGCCTCCGTTGAGGTAGGTCGGCGCCTTTTCGGGTTACGCTGCTCGCTTGTCCCTCGTCGGCCGCTACCGTGTTGTCCGCTGTTTTTGAATCTGGCTGCCTGTGTCTCCGTTGAGGATGTTGCACTGCCTCACTGATTCACTTATTTTTCTGTTTCAGCTGCCGTTCCCGTCTTGCCACAGGATCCCTCACGCTGCCACCATTTGTTGTGCCCTTTTTTGGGACACTTGGGATTCGATCTTTCCAAGGAGGAGGCGGGAGGCAAATGACTAACACTTTTGGTTGCAATAAACACGACTTTTACTAATTACTTCTCCTTTACAACTTATTTCGTACAAGACCCGTTCGTCGCTGCTCGACACACATTGCCCTCTCGTCTCCTGTTGTCGCTTCCTTTTCAATCCTCGTCTTGTCCTTCAATATCGCTGAGTTGCTCGATCGTATCTGGGCCGATCGCGCAACTCATCTTTTGCTGATTCGGCGTTGCGTAATTCTCTCGGGCTTTCGCGGTCGCGTTCCCTATTGTTATTCTCGGTCTTTCTTAATATTATTTTTATTTTATTATTACATTTTAATTGGGACCGCAACAGAACTTTAGTCAATTTAATTTCCTAAAGTTCTGAAATTAACTTTAGTTAATTTCGGAAAAACGATCAAGTAACATTATTTTTAACCTTGCAATTACCGTGCTAATTTCGTGCACTGCGTACACATAAGTTACCAAAAGGGGCAAGCGATTGACCCCAAAAAATGTCCTGTGTAATGGCATGTTTATGACGTTCAAAATTATATTAAAATATAGTAAGTAAACATATTTTAATGCAAAAATATAATACAATGTCAATTATTTTTATTTATATTGATACAGAATATTTTTAAAACTATAATTATATAATAACAATCTAGTAGAATTATTCTAAACAAATCATTTATAGGGCAAACGGCCCGCTCCCCTTGGTAATCGAAAGGTTAATTGATTGTATATAATTATTTTTGTCCTTGATTACATATTTTGTTTCTTCTCATGACACGAGATTGATAAATGCTTAATGTTCTTCACCAATTCACTAGTAAATAAATTTTCTCTGTTTTACAGAAAATGAATTAGAATTAGAAAAGCAACTAGATGAATCAGGAAGGAACAAGAGATTTAAGACTCCTTCGCTCTTAGCGGTAGAGTCACGAGCTACTGATGGCTTATTGCAGCAGTCAAGTAAAAGAAATATCTCGTCAAATAAGCGAAAGGTATGTCTTCTTGTATTCTCTTTAAACTTCTTTTTGCAACAAGAATATTCGTGCTCTCTTAAAATATATAAAGAGCAATTTTTTAACATGTCTATTATACATACAATTGTAAGTTACTTTTACTTTACTCTTTATTCTAATCTAAATTTAATTTCTACATTCTATTTTGTTGCAGAAATCATCAAAAAACGATTTCACTAAAACCTCAAAAAATAATAGCAAAATGGTCACTAAGACCGGAAAGAAGGTACGTTTCTGAAATACGCATGAAAAAAGTTTATATTAACGAATGATGCTTTATTACAATATATTTAAAAATTAAACAAAGAAGAATTGTTTTACTAAGTTTTTATACGTCCATTAGACAGTTATAACTACAGATGTGTTGGCCCGGTATATATTATGTATATATAGTACTTTCTAAAATATTTGTAAAAATATTTCTACAAAAATAATGTGATTGAAAAATTGTGCCAGTATGAATAGAAAATTATATTGTTCAAAAATATATGACAATTATATGAAAATAAGTAAGACGTATATCAAAGCATAAATTAATATAAAGAAAAACAATTAAATTTTATCAAACATTTTGTATAATTCTTAAGAATTAATTGCACAAATGTTTCTTTTTTTATTCAAATTATTTATTTCCGTACGTTTCGGTCCTGGTTTTGGACAATCCTCAGCACACAATTGTGCATACAATTTAATAATTTATGTAAACCGTAGATGTTCTAATTAGATTCGCAAAAAATGCAAATAAATATAGAATAACAAATACATACGCAATAATCATTCTAATTGAAAATTAATCTCTTTGATGGTCTCGGAAAATTTTATCGGCAAACAAGAATAATAAACCTCCCTCCGGTTCCAATCCGTAAGAAAAATATACGGTATTTGTGTGTTGATTATCTTTACAGCTGGAACCGGAGAGTGGCTCATTATACTTGCTCGCCGAGAGAATTTTCTGGGACCACAGAGAGGTACATTTTTAATTTAAACGATTATTGCGTACGTATTTGTTATTCTATATTTATGTATATTTTTGGCGAATCCAATTAGAACATCTGTTCTTCACATAATTTATTAATTTGTATAGATAGTTGTTGAGGAATTGAGGATGGTCCGAAACGTACGAAAATAAACAATTTGAATAAAAAAAGAAACATTTGCGCAACGTTTACCGTGCCTGTCTCTATTATAATTAGCCCACTTTTTTCTCATTTGAGGATTTCCAATTTTAGAGCCTACTACTTCTATTTTAATTTTGTATAATATCGTTCATTAAACTTATGCATTCTTTCCATAAATAAAACAAAAACAATTTGATTTATCTAGAAATAGACAATTAAATTTTTTTAAAGTATACAAATAATTATAGTTTTAAAACTTATTTATATCTTATAGTAATATTTATAATAGTAATAATAGTATAAATTTACTATTATAAATATTATAATAGTTTATAAATTATTTATTATGATAAAAAAACTTATAATAATTATATAAAACTATATTTTTAGTTATTAAAAATAAAGTGTGAAATCGAGACTCAGACAGCGCGAAACACTGCCGTTGTCTCTTAATATATAATTTTATTTTTTGCTGATATATTTTATGTATTGATATATTTTATTTTAAATTATTAATTAAAGAAACTGTAACTTAAATTTTACAATTATTTTAAACTTGTAGGGAAAGACTAAGAAAGAATCTGCACATACTGTGCTCGCAGAAAAATTTGTTACCAAAAGGAAGAAACTTTCATAGAGCAAGCGAGATAAATATACTGCAACTAAAAATGATGAAGATTATGATGAAGATTATGATGAAAATTATGATGAAGATTACCATAAAGAGGAAAAAGAATCATCAGATGATTCAGATGATGATGTTATGCCTAAGAAGTTGCATGTGGAGGCTATGCAGGACAAAGCTAAAAAAATTAAATCACTGGAAACGAAAATAAAAAAGTTAGAAAAGGAGCTGGAAGAGATAAGAACTCTTAATATATTATACCAGAAAGAGTATTTTTCATCATCTTCAGCAAACAGCGCCAAATCACATGTTGAACAACTTACACAGTCTCCACCTTGTACTATTGCATCAAGTTCATATACGTCATCATTATCATCATCGAAAACTTCATTATCAGTTTCTTCAAGCAGATTTATTGAAAAATCCTCTTCAATAATATCTGATAAAAATAAATTACTTGATGAAAATTTTAAAGGCAATGAAGAAAGAATTAGTGAAATTGCAAAACTTAATTCTCCATCAAGTAGCAAATCTCCAACATCGGTATCAAAATGTGCAGCATCCACTCCTGTATCATCAAGAACTTCAACAACCAATACTTTATCAGAATCAAAACCTTCAGCATGTCTTTTACCAGTCAGCGTAGAACGTGCCAGATCTGAGTCATTATCATTAAACACCTCAAGATTTCATATTGAAGATTCATTTGTAGCTGACAATGGACCTGTAAAACTCGAACCTATGGATACTACTAAAACACAAGAACCAGCAGCATCAGCAATGTCACTCGAGAATATTAAAGAGGTATTCTTAATTTTTATTTGAAATGTTATCTATCAAGTATATGATATTTTCAATTATTACATAAATTTAGCATTAAAATATGACTTCTTAATTTATTTTAGGATAAAATACTGATACATGAAAATCCAGCGATATGGGTGCCTATGGTAGGCTGGGAGAAGATAGAAGCTATTGCTGAAATTGTGTATATGGATCCATCAAACAACAATGAAACTGGTGACAAAGCATACATTTATGCCCTTGCACAGCATATGTTTGGCACAGAAAAATTGCTGACTCATGTTATTAGTAGCTGCAATGTGCAAAAGAAAAAGTTCCTGGATAGTGGGAAAACTGCGCCGCCAAATAAATTTTTAGAAAAAGATCTTCTTGCTGCTATTTATGGTTAGTTCTTCAGTATATTGTATACTTGTGTGTGTGTGTGTGTGCGTGTGTGTGTGCGCGCGCGCGCGCGTGTGTGTGTGTGTGTGTGTATGCGTGCGTGCGTGCGTCCATGCGTGCGCGCGTGCGTGTGTGTGTGTGTGTGTGTGTGTGTGTGTGTGTGTGTGTGTGTGTG